TTTAATGACTCTAAAATAGCATGTTCTTTAGAAGTATACAGTTTCTGTGGTTTATCGTAGTGATTTTTACGATTTTTATTGCAAAATAAACACAGACCTGTGTGTTGCTCCATTTCAACGGTTTGAAACGAATCACTTGACTCCATTCTTGACACTGTTTCATCACTTTGAGCGAGACTATGTATAGAAGATTGTTCTGCTGATGCTGATTGACTTGATGATCCTTCTTTCAGAGTATATTTTTACATAACTGCTGTAAACCTTTTATAGCACAAAATGTGGTATCTTTAACTTTCATTAACATGTAGTATATTACATAGTATTTCAATTTATGTATAACAAGGATTTCTAAAACTTCTCTACGTTTTTGCAATGTATCTGTTGCGAATGAAGTAATATTACCACTTATATTACAAATAACACACACTGCTGAAAGAGCCATTGTTATGTAGGATAGCTCAAGATGACTTCAACTTTGCAGTGTGAAAAACTAAGAATAACAAACTTTATTTTAACAATAACAACGGAACGATTTAGGAACTATTAGGAAATCAACAATTAAAAAAAACAAAACCGTCACGTAGCGGAGACAATAAACGGTTCGACGGTTAACCAAGTTGTGCCAATTTTCATCGTCTTATTTTCTTAGTCACATCTCTGCTTTTTTCGAACGTTTTCCAGAAAAAAGAGAAAGTTCTTCTCAAACCTACTCTGAATCTCTGCGATGCAGATGTTATGCCCTGCTACGCAAAAGTCAAGGCAGACGATCAGCGTCCGTTACAGTTAATATTACTTCATATTTCTTCTATAATGCCCTATATTGTTTCTATAAAATTCTTCCTTAAAAGGGTAAAGAGACTGCGACTAACTCTCTCAATGACAATTACTCTTTCCTTCTCTTCTGGTATGTCATGGACTATGTATATACATACATACATTACTAATAATGTATACAACTAGGAAACAAAAGTTCAGGTCTTTCGAAATGATGTATGTACACCGATAATTTATACTATCAAAATAATCGTATGGTCTTAACAACGAAAGTTTTGTCCGTTATAAAATATACACATTACTAATAATCTATAAACTAATAAACAAAACTTCAGCCATTTAAATATGACGTTTTTACCTCTTGATATTTGACACCTTTAAGGCGCACACCCCTGCCAAGCGCAATTTTTCGACCAGCCAGATTGGCGGTTTTGTGACTGGCATCACTGCCTGAATCGTGTAAGGTAAATAATTTGCATTTGGAAGTAATGTTAGAATTTTCGTAACCAGCTCTTAGACTATATTGTGTTCGGGTCTATGTCTTTTCATTTACCATCTTATTGGATATAGACTTATTGACGGTGTTTATTTTTATGCATATTTTAACATTCTGTACGAATTTTGATATAAATTGATTACATTCGAGTGAAATCAAAATTGACCCGTATCGTGGAAATGGTTAGAATGGTATATCAAAGCAAGTAACTCTAAACTTTATACGTATACCGGCAACGCTTTGTCGGTAATTTCAAAAGTGTAGCATTTCATCCATTCGATGAATTGTCACTTGTTTCCAATCCACGTCGCAATTCGTCAATTTTGATGAATTCGTCACGAAGCATTCGAATTGATCGGTAATTTCGGTAGTTCCTTTATAATTATCTACCAGCCTACATATTGTGTAAAATGTGTGAAACCGATTTTGAATATTAGTCAGATTCTACGAATGATAATTCACCAATAATCGAAAATAATATATCACGTGATAGTGATACATCATCTCACGAATCGTCTAATACATATGATGGTAATAAAGATTTAACAAACAACATGCGTGTATTAAAAAACTAGGTGGCGTGGGCAAACGTTCGTACGAATCAATGTGGTATTAAATCAGCCGAAAATATTATTTCTGTGAAATCCAGTGATACGAGATATGTTTTAATCAAGAGGTACAGACATAAAGTCTACATTTCTTTTATACTTTCCGCAACATATTATGAAAATAATTTTAGGAAATTCTAATTCCGAGGGAAGAAGAAAGTTGGGTGAAAATTTCCACCAAATATTCATTTCTGAGTTGGAAACATATTTTGGTCTACTCATTTTGGCTGACGTTGACAAATCGAATGGAGAAGCAACCGGCGCTTTATGGGATAAAGATAGAGATAAGCCTATTTTGAGAGCCACGATGTCTGCAAAGATGTTAGGAAATTTCTAGAGTGATTAGATTTGACAATAAAACATCACGGTCTACTAGACGACAAATAGATAAAGTAGCACCTATTCGTGAGTTATGGAACAATTGGGTTGACATATTACCAAAATGATACAATCCTAAATAGAATATTATTGTACTATCGATGAACAACTATACTACTACATTCAGAGAAATGCCCTTTTCGTCAATAATTCCAACTAAACCCTCCAACTATGAAATCAAAATTTGGACTTTGTACGACTAAGAAAATTAGTATGCACACAATTTAGAAATACATATACATGTACAGGTAAATTCCCATCCGCACCGTTTCAGACACTGTCGATAACGCCATCACCTGAGCTGTTCTCTCCCAAAGTTCATTCAATCTTTCATTTCCAGAATCTCTATGATACTTCACATATTTAAACGTAACATATTAAACGTTATACTTTACATATTTAAATGTTAAAACATATTAAACTCGCGAAACTATCATCGTCAACCATTTTCAAAACACCTTTAGTCTTTCATTGGAATATTTTCCGCAATTGCTTTATACGGCCTAATCTGTACAATTGATACCATATTTCGGACTGTCACATCTGCTAAATATTCGAGATATGTACCTTTAAACTTAGAAAACTATTATACATCGGACTCGAAAATTTGGTCATTCCCGTATGCGTGGTAAAACTGGAACACATATGAACCGGCTCTTACCACTGACTCGTGCGACAATACGGATACTGGTGAGTAATCAAACGGTCCAGACGTGCTTACACATCTGACGAGGAATCTGAACAGTTCAAGCCAAGTTCGGCCACAGCAAGGCGTTGAAACCGAAGGTTTTTTCCAAGCAGTCTGATGATGTTTCAAACTCCAAACAGTCCGATGACGTTGCTGAAACGTTTCAAACCTCAAGCCGCAAACAGCGGCCAAGCGACTCGAGGTGGTGGGGAATCGGAGACTCCGCAGACTGTTATTTGTCGATGTCCTCTTTGAGTGACGAGAAAGTAAAATGACTGCATAGTTACAGTTCGCTTGCACGTGTTCTTAAGGGGTCATGCTCAGTCAGAAATTTTCAAAAAATCGACTTTTCACTTTCTACATTTTCTTTAAGTACAACATCTCAAGAATATTCTGTGCAAGTTTCAAGGTAATCCAAATAAAAATAACAGAGTTACAGACGTTAAAAAATGAACATTTTATATAAGTGTAAGCTTGACTTGAAACTTTAAACGCGTTTTTCTCGAAATTATATTTTTCTAATCGGTGATCACTATTTTTCGAAAACTACTGTGTCGATTTACATGAAGCTTTTTGCGCCTTCTTTCAAATCAGAAAAACTTGTCCTTGAACGAAGGATTCTTTTGTTCGTTCCATACTTTTTTTTTAATTGACTAACAACGAGTGATTTTTTAGGTGAAAATCGCACTTTTTCAGGAAAACGCCCGCTATTTTGTTCCTAATCAATATTTCGAAAAACCCCACGTTCAAGGACAAGATTGGTTCTTCCATTACATAAATCTTCCTGAATCTTTAATTTCAGATGAACCGTTACGAAGTTACAGTGATCAAGGCAGACCACTTTTTGTGAAGAGACATCCGGGAGATCGCTCACCATTTATTTACTAATAAATATTTTTAAATAAAAAAATTACCTTATAATCTAGAAACTGCAATCTTTGAAACACAAACACATTTTTTGAAAAAGATCCTATAGTTTTCGAGAAAAAAATTCCTAAAGAACACTCTTTTTTCGGCCTCCTGGCTGAGCATGACCCCTTAAAAATTATTACATTATATTGATTATTTCTACACATTATATTACATTTTGTACCACACGATCTATGCGTAGTGAGTGAGTGTGTGACTTTACACAGTTTTATTACACTGTTTCAAACATTTAAATATGTTCTTACAAGCTTGTGTGTTTGGATTCTTGATTAAGTATTCTATTTGGAGGGGTAATTGGAGTTCAAGTTTTCTCAGAATGTTAAATAAGTCTATTCTTTGACTGTTCTAGAGACAGCACTGCCATATTAAGTGGTTTAGGTCTTCTTGTCCTTGAGTGCATTCACACATAGGGTTAACTTCTGTACCTATTCTAGCAACAGAAGCTGCTAGGTTGTAGTGATCGGCTCTACATCTATTAAAAATTACGATGAATTCACGAGATAGATTACATTTGTCCTGTCGTTGCTCGTACAACTTTCTGGTTCCGACGTTTGCGTGCCTTCGGAACGGATCTCGGAGAGGACCGTCGTCTGTCGCATCGAAAACGAACGTTCTCGAATATTCTATAGTAATGTATACAGACGGGGGTCCTCGCAGTTCCGAGAACTTTCGTCCTGGCAGTTGAAACGCACCTTATCGTGGTGCGGATTGACATGTTCGCCGGTAGGTCGACCCAACGGTCTGCCAATAAATAAATTTATCGAGTAGCTAGGACTTTGGAATGTGTCATCACTATTTGGTAAGTTTGCAGTGGTTCGAGAGTTTGGAGTTTGAAACGTTATCAGAATGTTCGGAAGAGACCTTCCGTTCGAACAGTTCGCCGTGATCAGACTCGACCTGAACTATTTAGGTTGCTTGTCAGATGTTTATTAGACAAAACATATTTGGAACAGTCTGTTTGAAAATTTTTAAATTTTTAAAATGACAATTTTAAAGATTTCATTATAGTGTAGTTCGCCGAATACCGTGAATAAATTAATATTAAAAATTGAAATCGTCCGAGGGTTTTCACAGTTATATTCTAATTGCATTGACCGAGCGAGACAAAAATAAGTATCCAACTTACCGTCCTGAAACGGGCCGTCGTGACAAAGTTCCATAATCATCTTATTGGTATCTGCGTAGAGATTACTGAAGTGTTCTCTTTGATTTTCCTGCAGGCAGTCCAACGTGAACGTTTGGACGCATTTCATGCTATTCTCCAACTCCCTGCATAAACAAGAAAGAGTGATTGAAGCAGGTATGAAAGCATAATGGTAATTAGAATTCCGAGTTGTACGGGTAGGGGTACGACGAAACTTCGAAGTCTTAATATAACGGGTGCGTTCCGGTGAATTGACTTTCAACGAGTCGAGTCGGAATGAAGATACAAATTGTCCAGTTTACAACGAGGAAACATTTCAACTCGTCGCCCGAGCAGTTCTTTTACTTGTACAGGTAAAAAATATCCTCGTCGTAAAAGAGCCGTTCCGGCGACTTTTTCGATTTCGACAATGGCATTACTGTAATTACGATCTCTAATAAATAAAGGCTCATTATAAAAGAAGAATTATTTATTTACAGAGGAAGAGTATTTATCTTTAACACATCTTTCCTTTTCCATGGTCCTATCACGTTTCTATATAATCTAAAAATACTTGAACGTGCCATAAAACTGTGTCAGAGACAAGAACTAACACCCTGTCAGACTAACCCTGGATTAAGATTTTTCCGTAAAACCGTTTGTTCTCTCTTATTTCGACAATATAATTCCCAAATTTCATACGCTTGGGTAGGAGCGCAGAAAACCGCAGTAAAATTTTCTAATCGTGGGAATTCATGAGTTTCCGTAACGGCGTGCACGATTCGCGAAATCACGTGCAACCGTACGTTTCAACGTTTTATATCCACACACGAGAGCGCGTTATCGTTCCGCCGCTTGATTTCACCGGGTTTCCAAAATTCGCTGAAAATGCTGTCCGAATATTTCTCGTATCGGTCTCTTTTCGACATGAACACGGATACGATTTATTCGAGCAGAGTCGCTCGATTTCGTTGGTTGATACTCATTCTTGGAACATCCCCACACTATTTAATAATCCTTTCACTGATCACAAGATCGTAAATGGTTGCATTCGCGACTGACAATGAGTGAACCAAAAAAACAGAATTAATAAACATCTTTATGATTTCCATCCACAGAATTAAAAATCTCTGCAGGGGATTCAAGTTGTACTAATTGTAAGTGTTCTTTGAAATGATAATATTCCTGAAGCTTCAGTTCTGACAAAGACCAACTGAAACCCCGAATGAAAAAACATACGTATTCATTTTTACTTTGTTTTTCCTAAACGTAACGATGCAAATTTTTGTTCTCGTGGGACTTATAAAAGATCAGTACAATGCTCTGTAAAAATGAGTAATCTATACAAAGTTTTAAATGTTTCATTTGACAGACCGCTTTATTATTGTTATTACAAAAACGAGTGACCACAGTGATCAACCGTAAATGATCTTTTCACATCTGTTCCTTTAAATTTATTTAAAGCGGCGGTCACAATTGAATTTAAATTTGTTCTTCACAATTCTGTACCTCTCTATAGAATTAAATAAGTTCTTACATATGTACTTCCCTTTTCAAGTAGTTTCATAAGAGTATAGACGTTTTTTAGTCAGTCACACATATCGGTCAATGTCTAACTACCTGTTTCAAATCATATTCCATCACATTTGTGTTTTTAATTATCAAAAGTCATACATCATGTTTAGTGCATCATTATACTGGTAATTTCTCAAATCCGTTACAGTTTTTTAAAGCTTAACATAACGAATACACCGAAGGTATGGTAATTTCTAAAGAATTCATGGCATTAATACATTAGAATTACACTTACGAAATCATTTTCGTAACTACTAAAATCGTAAAGAGAATCAATGCATGATAAGTATGTAACATTTTATTACTTGTAACAATTTCTTGAATTAAATGAATAATACTATATCCAAAATCTACTTTCCGTGTAAAAGTTTCCGTTTACAAAAGTAAATAAAAATTTTATCAATTAACCTCTGTTCGAATAATTTGAAATAACTCAGATCATTTGTTTCATTTATCGTATAAAAGTAGCTGAGTTATTCGTAATGCAAATTTTTACCGGAACGAGAGTCGAATTAATTATTACACTTTTAAATAATTCGTTTTATTCGCATTTTTGCGAATGATCATTTAATGCTCACAACTCACGTATTCATGATGTTATCTTAAAAATGTTCAGAACTGTTCATTGTCATTTCATTTTAAAAATTAATTTCGTTTCATCGACAACGGGAAATGAAAATTTTGTACTTTATGACCTGAAATTCGGTTCTATATTTGAATAACAGCTCGATACGTATAAAACAGACGCGCACAAATATTTTGAAGCAATTCATATTGACTGTATAAATGAAATAAATATTGCGACCTGGAGACACAAGTTATTAGTGGAATGAAACATCAAGCGTTTGACGTTTAATTCTATTTTTTAAAAAAACGTTTGCGAGCGTGTTCTTGATATTAAATTTTTGTTAGAGTGCTAATAATATTTAGAAGATTAGCATGTTTCTATACTTTTCTAATAAAACAGTTGGAGAAAAGATTTTAAAAAGAAAGGTAACCAATTTCGTGACATTGCAGCAGGTTATTTTTCTGTGTTTAAAGTTTAATTTGCAACTCTTGTCTTTGATAACACGTACAACTGTTCTCAATGAATTAGAAATACATTTTCTTGCGGAGTGACATAAAACCGTGTACAGCAAGCTTTAATTTTTTTTTGTGCAAATTGGGTTGGCTTTAACCAAACTTGGTAGTTTCCGAATGAAAAATAGTGAAAAGTTCCTTGAAAAAATATTTACTATGTATGAAAAATAAATGCAATGAAAATAATTTCAAAAACTACGCGCCACTAAAATTTTATTAACAAAAGAATTTTATACCCAAGTACCCGACAAAGAACTACTCGAAGCTCAGAAGAAATGTTGAAATCGTTCATTCCTAAAACCTTCTACAAATTAGTTAAGGGGCTCATTAAATTCCTTTTTAGCTCTCGAGCTGGTTTCCCTGAGTTGTACAGCCAAGAAAATAAAGGAACAATCAATAAAAACCGACGAATTACGTATTCGAAAACACGTTTAACTCCCATTAAAGTTTCGTCGATTCATTTAATTATCGGTACAATCCAGTCGAAAAACTCAGTCCCCCAAACTACCGAAACTGTAACAACGTTAAGTAACCAAGAATTTTCGAGGTCCGTGTTGAAGTTCAACAGTGGCTCGATCGAAAACTATCCGCAGCTCCCGCTGAATGTTTCCGCATTGCAGACAAAAGTCACAATCCCGGAGTGAAGACATCGTAAGCATATACATACGGTAATAACAAACAAAAATACGCAAATCAAATAATTAAATTACTGCACTAATTATGCTTAATTCTTCTTAATAAAAAAAAGTATGAGCATTAACTTAACTAAAAAGAAATACAGAAGTGACAAAATTAATTCTGTACTTCAAATAGTAATTGTTTGATAACCAACTTTCTAAATATGTACTTAGAAGAATCAGCCAAGCAAATTCCTTTATACAATTTCTCTGCAAGCCGTTGGTTACAACGCCAATCCAATGGGATTAACTATACACCAAGTAGTATCGATGCGATGTGAAAAATGTTCAAAATCATTATAAGTACATGGGGAAACGAAAAGTGTCGAAATGAAATCGAATCATGGAATACACGGGGGGTCCCACGTATAATTGTAGCCACAAAATTTCAGGACTTTCCTTGAACTTTACAAAAAAATATGTTAGACAAACGGTGTGTAATACTGTATTTAAGTGTGCATAATTTTCGTAAATCATAGTTTCTTCGTCTGCATTTTTTGCGAAACTTGCTGTAGATTATCGAACATTTGATTTCCGGGTGAACAACTTGCGTGGATCACCCTGTGTATGTACATGAATGATCTGGTAAGAATTTTTCAGAAAGCTTCCCTTTAATATTCATTTTAAGCGATCTACGGAATACAATACCATAAAAAGATTGCTTCGCGAAAAAGCTTTTATTATTCAATGTTAAAATTTCCTCGTTGATAATTGGAAATCAGTGTATTCTTATGAAGTAACGGACGAAATGAATTAATTCAAATGCACCACCACAAACTTAAACGATTCAGTTAATTTATAATCTTGTGAAAACTTACGGGCACATCTGGCGCAGATACATTTTCGAACGAGCGAAGCTCAAGTCGTTGCTGTTCATTCTTTCGAGGGGTCTGACACACTTCGTCAATCCTGCCTGGCCGCACTCTTGGCTCGCATCTGCACTCCGGCAACTGCCAAGTACTGGAAGAAAAAACAACAGAATGTTAACGTCAGAAAAGGAAAAATTAAATCAGCAGTTAAGTGTCTAAAGGCAGCCGTACATTTGAGAGTTTCTCGCGCAAGTCGCGCTCGAGAGTACTGTCACGACATACAACAAACACAGACAGTTGGCATACAGTATACAGTTGAACGATCCACTCGCGAGAAGTACTCTCGAGACCAACTCGCGACAGTCAATAATATTCTATCCGACATAGTGTACCAGAACGCCGTTTTTGGAGTTCAGAAGCTTAATTTGGGTGTAAAAATGGGCATATCAAAACCAAACTTGGTAAGCATGTATTTAATGTTCATATTTATTTAAAAAAAAATAAAAAATTAATAAGTAATGTTTGTTAATAATAATTTTTTTATAAACAAAGAAAATAATTTTGTTTTACGGAGTTATCATTGTCAATTACAAGTTCTAGTATATCGTTCTCGAAAATTAATGGACTTTCATCAAAATTTTTCTTCTGAATTACGAAATTGCGGATATTAAACAGTCAGAGAATGCTAGTAATGTTTGCAAGAAATCAGTAATTGTTTCAATTCAGGACAATTTTTTATAAATTTGTATAAACATTAGATGTATTCACCGTGTTCCACATAGCTTGAAAATTCGAAATTATGTTGAAAAAAAAAAGTTTATTTGCAAATGTTTTGCAGAAATGAGGTTTAGCGGTAAATAACTATTAGCGGTAAAAAATATTTTTGTTTAGGCGTAAAATGGCGCACTTGGAACTAATCGTAATTCAATACATCAATAAATCCATAGTTATTTACCGCTAAACCTCATTTCTGCAAAACATTTGCAAATAAACTTTTTTTTTTCAATATAATTTCGAAATTTAAAGCTATGTGGAACACGGTGAATACATCTAATGTTTCTACAAATTAATAAAAAATTGTACTGAACTGAAACAATTACTGACTTCTTCCATACATTACTAGCATTCTCTGATTGTTTAATATCCGCAATTTCGTTATCCAGAAGAAAAATGTTGATAGAAGTCCATTAATTTTCGAGAATGATATACGAAAACTTGTAATTGACAATAATAACTCTGTAAAAAATGTTTATTTTGTTTATAAAAAAATGATTATGAAAACATTATTTATTAATTTTTTAGTTTTTTAAGAAATATGAACATGAAATACATGCTTACCAAGTTTGGTTTTGATATTCCTCTTTTTACACCCAAATTAAGCTTCTGAACTCCTAAATCGGCGTTCTGGACCACTGCGCGACAGTCGCTCGTCGAGAACGAAACAATTTCGTATTCCTGCGAGAATCGTCGCGCGAGAAACAATTGGTGTGAAAACGAGATCAATAATTTAATTAGTGTATACGAAGAAAATTCCATACTATAATTTCCACGTCCATAATCACTATCTTACGTCACGCTTAGACGAAACTCTGGTCACTACACGCGAGAGTTTAGTGGATACGATTCTGAGAGTTCTGTCAGACAGTAAACTTGGCGAGCGTTCTAGCGATTATCTGAGAGTAAATATTCTTAAAGTTACTTTCAAATGGAAACACAACGTGACAGTACTCTCGAGCGCAACCCGCGCGAGAAACTCTCAAATGGACGGCTTAAGATAACAAAAGGGATGTTTCTGTAATTAATTATTAATCGATAGAAATGATAATATGGCTTGTTTTGTGACATCGTTGAGTAGGTCTCTCCGTTCAGATATATTCTTGTTTGTGATGTATCAGCTGGTACTGTAAGTTGAATGTCGTATGTATCACATTTATTTCCTACGTGAACCCTTCATCAACCTCGATGCGTTGAAAGCATTCATAATAATCGCCAGCTGCAAACCACCTGATGCACCATGATTGAACGATTATAGTTGTTTGAAAATTTAACAACAAATCGGTATGAAACAGCTAATATTTTATATTTATATTTATAGTAATTTATTTTAATTATTATAAATTAGAGTACCCAAGCCACTGGTCTCTGCTTCTTGACTGTCAGTGCGTACGTGTGGTCTACTGCTCCTTGTCAGCTGATCGTTAACTGCTAAGTCGAGTTCGTTTAACTGCTAATATCTCGAAAATGGAGCTTCAGATTACAAAACGGTGAAGGACTTTTCGATTTGTATTTGCATCAGGAATATACCCGTGTTGCGGATTCTCTTATTTTTTTGGGACACCTTGTAATACTATTAGTATTATTATTACAAATATCCACGACCTTTCCTAACAAAATGTCGATAACATTAAACGAAAACTTTCTATAAGCAGTCGATTGAAACCCATGATAAAAGTAAAAAGTATATTGGAAGGACAGAGAAGATGCTGGGAGACAGCCTTCAAACGCTTTCGATTTGATCTTAAGAGAGCCGCTTCCGTTTAATCTCTTCTGCCATCGTTTCCCTTGTAAGTTATTATTATTCTTTGAAAGGTAGGGCTACAACAGAAAAGTCGATCTTGTTCTCCATCAAACTCTCACCACAAATTAATAGCAATTTTCCTTCAATCGAACCAGTTCCGTATCAGTTGGTCAACTAAAAAACGTAATTTATTTCTTTCAAGTTATTAATTTACCAGTAAAATTTTTGTACACCACAACAAATATATTAAGTATATACATCTAACTATAATTATAAATATCTAACAGATCGTGCATTACTTATTTTTTGTTAAATTTCAAGTTTATAAGGTTATTATAAATTACGTATTTGAAGACATTAAGTGCAAGGATATTAAAATCTTACGCTGAGAGTATTAATAACTCCGATAGTTCCTTTAGAAGACTTGAATCTCTGAGGTTAATCTAGACTATCTAAAAACTTCTTAATCTTGAAGAATGTTCTTGAGGAACTTTTTTAAAATCACAAGAAATTAAAAAGCTCTAGAAACTTTGAGACTGCCCAGAGAAAGTACTAGAAATGATCTTGATAAGTAATTTGATGTTTTTGAAAATTTAAAGCATTAATAATGAGTTTGATTGTTGTTACCTTCGGAACAGAAGAAGCGAAAGTTTTTTGGTTGTTTTGAACTCTTGTTTTGAACTGTTGTGATTATCCCCCTAATGGAGCGTACAAGAGGAAATGACGACTGCGAGGAGATGGAAAAAACGCTTTCGTTGAACGTAGAAAAGGCGAAGGTGCACCTACCATAAACGCCGGGAAGTTGCAGGAAGGGTGTACAATTCACAATTATGCATATGTACGCAAAGTTACTGCAGTATTTGCCGCCCGCTTTATGAAATTAAGTTATTATTTTGTTACGCGGAAAGAGACAATTAGGAATTTTGCAATGAGAGAAGACATCAGCCATCGAAGCGTAATAAAAGAAACTGCATATACTATAACAATTTTCTGCATAAACAGGACAATTACAGTAGAAGTCCATTTACCCGAACCCGTCGAAGGGCATAACGGTCCATACAGCTGAATAGTTCATAAAATATACGCACAAGAAGCAGGTATTGCAAACATTAACTGAACAGTATTCTCAAAAGTACCCAACATTAAGAAATGACATCAAAGGGCAAAACTTTTCTTACAATACAAACCGCAATATACAAGCAACAATTAGTAGAATTAGGATAGGTCATACGGCTCTAATCCACTCACACATACTAGAAAAACAGGAACGGTCAAACCTCGATCAATGCAATATATCAAACATCATCAATCACATCATACTGGAATGCAAAAACTACGACACCGAAAGAAGAATAGCAAATCTGCCAAACATCAAAAATTCGTTGATGGATGGATCAATGATTCGTTGTTAATGAAACTTTTACTAGTATATTGATGAGATTTTTCTGATTAAAATGATACCAAATGTGACATAATTTGTATCATATTTTCTCATATAGAAACTGTTAATAGTTCATATTAGTTCATTATCGATTTTGATAAATCATTAGTAAATATGACGCAAATTGTGTCGTGTTTGGTATCATTTTAATCAGAAAAATCTTACCAATTTGTTTATAAAAGCTTCATTCATAAAGAACCAAAAATAAAAAGGTTTAATCGTTGCATTAGTATTGTCTCACCGACACCCGGGAATGTAACCTTTTTATGGGCTCCCAACGTTCAGTCGTCGGCTCGTGAACGGGAAGCCGTCTCGGCGCGCTGCGGCAACAAAGTATGCGGTTGCCGAGTTCCACGGCCTTCCACTTTTACAAGTGGAAAAATTGCTTGAATTTGCATTAAAATCAAATACGAATTATTAAAGTTTTAGACATCTATACTTCGTAGAAAAAGGATAATTCCATGGAAATATCACCTAAACACTTGACTTATTACTTTAGTCAATTTTTTAACATCGCAGAACTGCACACGTACGACGATCTATTATATCCGTATAGATATGCATACTCCAAATATAAAAAAAGCCAACCGAAATCGAATGGACCAATCCTTTTTAGGAATGAAAAACTGAAAGCTGACTTTATCAATCAGTACGAATTTATAAATGATGAATCGGTGAATTGCATAAAACGTGAAATCTGCCGTCAGACCCTGTTCCATGAAAGCTTTCAGAACGAAGATAAATCCACGTTAGGTTCGACGCACACGAACGGCATGCGTTATTTTGCAGTCGCGTCGATTTGACGTCGTGTTCTGGCAGTACATTCATTTATAATTTATATGAAGCAATTCACATCAGGTTTCGGCGGCAACTTTGGGTCTTGTTTGCGTCAGTTTTGCAGCTGAAGCATACGAGCGGTCAAATAATTTTAAGAATTAGTAACATTTTTGATTACTTAAAGGAGCGTTTAATATTCTGTTTTCCGATTTAAGGGAAGATGAGATCAAGTTTTGTAACTACTTTAGAATGAGTGTGAAATCGTTTGATGAACTACATATAAAAATGAATAAAAACGTTTTCTTAAATAATAGAAGGTTAATGAACTTATAATAAATGAAGGGACTAATAATAATTAACAAAAAAGGTATCAAGATATATAAAACAGGAATGAAAAGAAAAAATAAAGAAGTAA